ACTCCTCTTGTGCTTCATAAATTAGAAGCCTAACAGGAACAGTTAAAAACAAAATCAAAATAAAACAGAAAGAAAAAAATACTACTAATAAAATTAAGATAAAAATAAATAAGTAAGTAGGAGAAAAGACCACCAACAATATTAAAATAAGCTAGAGAGAAAATTTCTGTCATGGAACATGCAAGAAATATTTAAACTTAGATCAAATTCAAGTTGACCAGGTGTCGTATTATACCATAGTTCCATCCACCATAATCATCTTCAGAGTGATCTCTGTCTGATAGCAAAACTAGGTACTCCGTAGATAAATTTTGGGCTCCCACTAGCCTTCTACAAATTGGGTATTCACAGTTTAAGCTCTGATACATTTCCCTTCATTATATTTGAATTTTGTTATTGTCGTCTTTGGATCACACAGGCTGGTGTACTTCTTCCATGTAGACTTAGTTGACACCTCACTCCAAGATGACTGCTTGCTTGACTAAAGGTCTTTAAGACCCTATACACTATTCCAGTTGATAGCCAGGCATCGTCTGCTTTCTTCACCACACTTGAACATGATCCTTTCAAGCAAGCATGCCTTTCAGTCTTAATTTTTAAAATTTCTAAGATTTACGTTTTGCAGCATTCCTTTTAAAAATCAAAGTCTTTTTTGTCACATTTATTAGCTATACCGAAGATGTAAAGTTTGAGAACTTCAATCTTACTTTAAAAATTATGGAGGCTGCGAATATTCTCGCTGTCCTGGTTTTGTGGTAGCCAGGGCAGGCTAACCGTTTGCTATATAAAAGACCATGCATGTGTCCCCAGGCTGAGTTCTTTCCCTGAGCCTGGTTTTATAAATGCTGGTGATAAGTCTGCATTTCTGTAGATGGCTGGTACTCCAGGGATCTTTGTTCAAGTTCAAGATGACTGTTTAGTGAAATAGGAAATAACAAATGTGGATTTGCAGAATTATGTCTAAAGTAGAGGGATTCTGCAACAATTTGTTGCCATTCATTAATGTAAAATTATTTTTAAAAAATTATGGAAGCATTCATAAATGAAAAACAAATATACAATTTAAAAATCTACTTTTAGTATATTTACAATGTTGTATGTCCATCACCACTACCCAGCTCCAGAATATTTCCATTACTCCAAAAAAGAAACCCCTGACCGATTAAGCCGTCACTCTCAATTGCTTCCTCCGTATACCACTGACAGCCAACTAACCTGCTTTTCATTTATGCAGATGGCTACTCTGGGCACATAGCGTAAGTCCAATCATATCGTACATGGCCTTTTGTGTCTGGCATCTTTCACTTGTCACAGTGCTTCCAAAGTTCGTCTAGGTTGCATCATATTTCTGTATGCCATGCCTTTTTATGTCTGAATAATATTCCATTTTATGTATATACCCTGCCATTTTTTGTTTCCTTGATTCACAGAAATTTTGGTTGTTTCCACCTATTAAGTGCTGTGAGTAGTGCCACTGCTATGAACATCCATATACAAGTTACTGTTTCAACGGAAGGGTTCCCCTTTTAAGCCAAATATTTTATTTTTAGATTTATTACCTAATACTTTGACTTTTTTTGTTGGAAGGTCATCTTTGTAAGAGCTAGTAAATTATGTTTCAGTGTTTAAAAGCATCTCTTTTTAAATGAGGGAAACTATTCTTGTCTACTCCGTGGGTTTTTCCCCTTTTCATTTTTAAATGATCTTCCAGAAAAAAAGGTAAGGACAACTTAAGTTTGTTTTGTTGAAATAAATTAGCTGTTCTTTATTAAATTGAAAACTGGCATCAGGAATTTGACCCACATTGCTTTACTTTTAGGAATTTATAGTTTAGGCTTACATTTCTTTAGACAGTTAGAAATAGCACTTAACCTGAATAAATAAAAACAAAATGTGAACATGAGTAACTACTCCATTTTTTTTTCTTCTAGTCACTACTTTGATGAACCAAAGTTAGCTCCTTGGATTTCCTTATGTGTTCAAGGCTTTGCAGACAGTCCTGTTTCGTGGAGAGAAAATGAACATGATTTTCTAAAAGGAGGAGAACATTTGTACAATTTTGTGATTTTTAATAATCAGGATTATTGGCTTCAGATGGCTGTTGGGGCAAGGGATGATTGTCCACCTTAAAAAAT